TGGTTCTGTACATGAACTAATTAGCCAACTATTATGACTATTACCTGGTAACTCATTTGTTTATTATAACTTCTTGAGTTTGGAAGATTTCTTTTTCAGCTGACTTACGCTGGATATCAAATTAAATCTTAATCTGCTGCTTTTACTGGTTAACATTCAAGTTTTTAATATTTCTATTAGAAAGTTATTGACAGTTTGCAATGTGACTACAGATTTCCTACAATTATTCTTGTTTTTTCAGGCATACAAGTGCACCATTCTATCAGGTAAAGTTGTTGCTGGAAAATAAACATTGTATGCAAGCATATGATCTGATATTAAAATATTGCATACCTTTCCTCAAGTGCAACCATTATGATGTTGGAACTTTTCAATGTGTTTAATAGTTAACTCTCTTATGCATGCAATGTATTTGCCACAGCAAAAAACATCCATATTTTAATATGTAATATTAAATATGAGTCAAGTTCTCAATTAGCAACCTTTCATGAGTTTGTGCATATGTCATTCCCCACCATTTAGCTTGGCAGCAGGGCTGGTGTGAGGAATCCCTTGGGTCATTTGGTAACCACATAACTTACTTGAAACAAAGATAACAAACTGAACATATACATATGACAAGTACACATAACTTATTTCATATAATCAAAGTTCTTTTTGGACCACATACCAACTCCCCAGTATCAATGTACATAGTTTAAGAATAATGATGAGCCCTAGTATTTATATTTTAATTTTGAATTATGGACACCTGATTTGATATACAAGTTAGGTAATCCACTGGTCGCAAATGGCGTGACATACGTACAATGTACACTGTAATTTCAGTTTATTGTGTTTACACAATGATGGCTTCACAAGCGTTTAGTAACCCAAGTCAATTATTAATCCTACCACTTAATTGCCCTTTTCCTTGATTTTAGGAAAGATTCACTTTTACTTTTTTATGGTATTTAGTATGTTAATAACATAATAATAATAATAATAATAATAATAATAATAATAATAATGATATCAACAATAACAGTATAAATTTTGATAGCATTAGAAAAAAAAATTGGAATGGGGAAAATCAGATGTAGTTACACAAGGCCTACTATTTGACTCCATGGTTGTTGAGCACTTGTTCAGCCATCTGTGTATTACTAAATTCATTACAGGAAAGTACTTGAACCTCTGACTGATGGGGTAAAAATACATCTTTTTGCAATTCCTACCTGGTATCATATGGAAAAAAAAAAAAAAAAAAAAAAAAAAAAAAAAAAATCTTAAAAAGTCAATTTATGAGGAAGAAATATGAAGATATATCTTATTCATTTTAGTATTAGGCCTAATCAGAGAAAAAAAAGAAGAAAAAGAAAAACATACCAAAACTTGGTACAACATTCTAGAACTTTAAAAAAATTGAAGAGTGTAACAATTTCTTTTATGAAATGTAACAAAAGAATCAATATCTTTATCAACAGAAGCAAAATTATCATTATCTACATAAATGATACACACTGTGACCAGACGATGCCTGAGAATCATTTAAATATTCTTATCTGAAGCCATAGAAATCAAACTGGTCAGTTTTATCATCTCAGTCTACACTTCCACTATTTCGAACAATGGAAATTCACTTATCACTGGAGAGTCATTTGGTGTGAGCTGTGAGCGTAAAGGAATCATCTGGGTGTTGACAGGTAATAAGGACTTGTCTGAATTTGTCAATTGCTTGGAGTAGTTCAGATCTCCACAAATTGGCTCTATACATCATTTCTTCTAGGTGATGACGTCCCCGGAAATATACACACAGCCTGTTGGTTTAACCCCATTGTCAGTGATCATGTGCATTACGAATATATATAAAAAAGCATAATAATACCAAAACAATTTTTGGATTTGTTATTTCTCTTACTGTACTTATGGCATCTGAAATACTATCGATCAAATAGAATAAAAGTACCAGTATTACATCTTCATTGATACTGACTGCATTCAAAGAATTCTTAAACTTACTTTCATAAAAAATATTCATTTTAAGTTTATGTTTTTACTGTTGAGAAAGAAATGCAAGAAGGAAGATGGAACAGAAACATATATATATGTGTATATATTACATATATGTATGTATTTATAATATATATATATATATATATATATATATATATATATATATGTGTGTGTGTGTGTGTGTGTGTGTGTGTGTGTGTGTGTGTGTGTGTGTGTGTGTGTGTGTGTGTGTGTGTGTGTGTGTGTGTGTGTGTGTGTGTGTGTGTGTGTGTGTGTGTGTGTGTGTGTGTGTGTGTGTGTGTGTGTGTGTGTGTGTGTGTGTGTGTGTGTGTGTGTGTGTTGTGTGTGTGTGTGTGTGTGTGTGTGTGTGTGTGTGTGTATATATAATATATAAATATATATATATATATATATATATATATATATATATATATATATATATATATATATATATATATATATATATATATATAGTCATATTACTTACTTGGCAAACAGTTTAAGGTCTTCTGGATTTTGAGCAGCTTCTACTTTCATGACCATTTCTTTTTCTGCTGGTGACAAAAATGTATCAAGGCGGCGGCGGATGTAGTCCTCCGGGATGGTGTTAAGACTGACACCTGGACTGGGGCTCCGCTCATCACTACACACTGGAAAGAAAGACAATACATCATAGCTATCACTTTCTATATGATAAATTTTCAGTAAAGCAAAACAGAATACTAGTTTTTGTCAAAATCTTCCAATTCTTCAAAGTATACCAAGTAAAATTAAGTACGGAAGTTGTTATACTTTCTACCATAAACATGAAGAACATAATCCAACATATGTTTTTTTACCCGAGCCTAAATCACTTTCAGAAGCAGGCTGACTGAGCTGTACAGCAGCATGGTGGAGTGCATCTCCAATGATATCTGCCTGATGAGACTGCTGTGGATGAGGCGTTAGTGAAGGAGGATCATGAGACAGTGGTGGAGGCTCATGAACTGTTGGAGTTGGTATACTTGTACTTGCAGGGGAACTTGTACCATGACTCCCTAGCTGTCCTGTTCCTCCTATTTCACGCCCACTAAGCCGTCCACTTCCTGAATCTGAGGATGTTGGTGGAGGAGCTAGATAGACATAGGTATGCAGCTGCTGAAGTAAGCCATGTTTCAACAACCACAGCACCTGCTGCACTTGTTCTTGCTGTAAAAGATAATAGTAATAGTGATAAGAATAAAAGCAACAGTAGATGCAAAAGCAGATGGACAAACAGTAGGTTTAGAAAAAGTAAAAGGGGATTATGATGGTATATCACAAAACAAAAATTCACACAAATTTTATATTTGATGAAAAATAAATACTGCTATATAAAGAAGAAAAAGAAAAAGAAGACATAAATATATAAGGAAATGTTCTATCCAACATCAATCTTCAGTTAATATAAGACTGATTTTCCCATATTAAACTCTAGTCTATCTAAATTCATATACTTCATAATTTTCTCACAAAACCATCTAAAATTAGGGAAATAGATTCCTACTTGTTTTGTCTGAAACACTGTGAACAAAATGGAGGTCCCAAAACAAAATTCCAATAATGTCATACCTTATCAATTAAAAATTGGTCTTCTTTTTCATTTGCAAATTGGATGACGTTTAGTAAACTAATATTTCAAACACTTCATTACCTGTTGGTGAGGGTACGTCATGGGATGGCATTTATCACTCAGGGAGATGGGGAAAGAGAACTCTGCTAAGACAGCATGAAGAGAAGACCCAGGAAACTGTTCACTAAATCGTTCTGCTAGTTGACTATTGCTGTGAGAGAAAGAATATTTAGTCCTTTTTTGGCACAATTTGTAAATCTAAGAAACATTTCACATAAATATTTCAAATCAAAATGATCTCTTGTGCATATGGTAATATTAAAAATGAGTGAAAAATTATATACATCAAAATCCTTTCATATATTTGTTTCAAACGTGTGTGTGTGTGTGTGTGTGTGTGTGTGTGTGTGTGTGTGTGTGTGTGTGTGTGTGTGTGTGTGTGTGTGTGTGTGTGTGTGTGTGTGTGTGTGTGTGTGTGTGTGTGTGTGTGTGTGTGTGTGTGTGTGTGTGTGTGTGCATATTATTTAGGAATTTTATATATATATATTATAACTATTTACTTACATAACTGTTGGAGCATTTGGAGAAAGTACATAAACATTTGTACTGCACACAGGGTAAATTATAGTTCCTTTCCCCCAATATACCAAATGTCCAACAAGCTGTCAAAAAAGTGATACATTATGTTTCACAACCTTTTTCTAAAAGAAATACAAATATGCCTTAGCTTTTGTCACTAAGTTCCATCAACTGACAGCAGAGGGTAATAATTTTTGCTGATTAATTAATAAATAAGTTGAGGAATTATAGGTTAATTGTGCATTTCTTGAGTAATGGAAATCATCATCCTTGTCCTCATACATACCATAAACACCTGAGGTAATGTCAAGTCTGCATCAGCAGCAAGGGTGTAAAATGGTGTAAGTGCTGATTCAACATGAAGCAGCCGTCGAAGAGCAGGTGAGGCATCAGCAGAGAGAGACCGAAGTAACTCTGAGCGCTCCACTAACAAAAGGAGCGTATGATAAGGCTTGAGAGTCTGTAGCCCCCTTAACAATCCTTCGTACTAGCCATGAGAAAATGGAAAAATATCTTAACTCCTCTATATTTACTGTCATGCTACCTTTCAGTAAAGTATCATACAATGTATGATGTATTTTCATAGTTTCTCAACAGTTTTGAGTTTTGTCATAAAATAAAAAAAGTGAAAATATGTAAAATATATCCAGGAAAATGATCATGCATGAACAAAACATCATATAATCAAAAATATAATAATGAGTATGAACATACATCAATAAATTCTCCTGTTGCTAGGCTATGATGAACTTTTTGAGGTAAACAAAAGCTCACTTGAATCCACTTGTTAAGACGTAGCTGAACAATACCTGAGCCACACAACCTATAGAAAAAATATCAAATAACAGAAGGTATTACTCTCGTTTATGTGAAGAAAAAAGAAAAAGACATGAGTTATTTGCAGTACATACTTGTCATCTACTTTCTAACTTACTCCTCATAAACTTGTCTTAGGTGACGAGCAAATAAACTTCTGTCAAGTATCAGCTGAAAAGGTGATATCTGACCATCTTCTGGAAGTTGAGATGCCTGAAACATTATTTTCATATTCAAAATTTATAAATACTAAATTCATTTTTCTGTCACTGAATGTCAGAACTATAATAAAAAATATTTCAAAGAACTACCTGGATTTGGAAGGGACTTTATTCCAGTACATTATAACTTTAGTCAATTTCATTTAAAAATATTAAATAAATAATAAAAGCTATTAACAAATTATATATTTCTTAAAATAATTTATATTTCAACTACCATATATATTCATCAAGACTAAACAATATTTTTTATTCAGATAAAAAGGTAGAATGAAAATAATATAAAATAAAATACTTTGGACTGAGCTTAATTAAGACAAAAACAAAACCTTTTATAACAGCTACCTCATCATGAGCAGCTAGCATTATCCTTGCTTCAGAAGACAGGAACTGACACCGATACTCCTCATGACGCAGGGCCAAGCCTAACCGCATGCTCAAATCATGGTAACAATTGACAACATCATGATTAAGAGTTGCCTATTTTGTAAATGAAAGAAAGAAAAAAGAGAAAAGTTTCAGTGCATTATACAAATCCTTACCAATAAAGAAACTTTTGATGCTTGTGGCCCAGATGAATTTTCTAAATCAATGGCAATTTAATAGTGCAATATCCTAAATAATCCACTCTCAACTAAAAGGTACAGAAAATATAATAAATATGACAAATGTATATGATTTCCAGATGTAAAATATTCAAGTTGTTTACTTGCACTTTCAACTCACTTTCAGAGCAAAAACAATATTAAACAGAATAATCGTTGAAGGTTTTCTTCTGTCTTGATGTCGACCAAGTGTTGTTGTAGGGTTAAGGCGAACTGGATGACCTACAAATCTCACATCATTTACTTTTAGTTCAAATTTGCGGTCACAAAGTTCACTTTTAAGAGCAAACAGGTTTGACATAACCTGCAAAGAAAATATATTGAAGTTTAATATCTAACTCAATAAGTCCTTAATCATAACATCCTTATTAATTCTATTCCAGTAAGTTTATCACAACTATTAGAATTATTGTAGGTACAGACCATAAAGGGTTGATAAAACAGCCTTAAAAAGCACATGCACATAAAGACACATAGACAAAGACATAAACATTAACACTGACAGACAGACAGAAAGACACACAATGACAGACAGACAGAAAGACAGACAGACAGACACACACACATATGAATGTAGCTCTGAAACAGAAGAAAACATACAAACCTTATCACTAAAGCCGGTTAACTTTCCATTAGATATATTTGATGTACATCGTATTGTTGAAGTCTGGGGTGTGCCATCCCCAAGCATCGAGTAAGGGTTGTGTCTCTTTGCTGTAACATCACAAATTAAACACTGTACTCTCATCTGTCTGGAAAGGAAAACTAATCTAACAAATAACTCCAGTGCCGTAACTCATTCCTTGATAGTAAAAATGTATGTGTTTTTAGTTATTGTATGTAAATTCTTTTCCTCCTTTAAATTTTTTTCTTATCAAAAAAGGGATAAATATAGTTGTCACAATATTAAAAAAAAATACTGGTTATCACAGAATATTACTTTTCATTGTAACAATAGCAAAAGATTTAAACTTTATTTTGATGTGCTTAAAAAAGCTTGGAAGATAAATTAGAAACTTGAATAAATTAATTGAAGTTAGCACAACATATGTGAAATATAGGTGTGAATGCACTTGGGGTTTATTATACAGACAAAATCATATTGCACTAAATCTTGAAGTTAGGACTAATCTAAAGTAAGAATATAAAGAACACAAAAAACAAGATTACTACAAATAGTAAATAATTGGTTATAATAATAAAAAACTGATGCAAGTTATCACTACTCTCTATATATTCTGGCAAGATAGAATGTGTAGATCTCCCTTATTTTTAAAGAGAATGCGGATGCGTCGTAGTGAGCGACGACAATGTATGGGCTACAATGTGCAAACAATGGATATTTATGGTGCGAGCATAAATGATAGTTTTTCCCTTTTAATAATAACATTCTGAAGTGACTTGATAACTGAGTGATTGTTCATGTTTGTTTTCAAATACAGATACTTTGTTTTACTTGCTGTGCTACATTATGTTGGTATTCAAATAACTGTGAGAAAGAAAATTGGGTGGGAGCAAGAATGATCATAGGTGTGACTCAAGATCGGTGTCACTGCGAGAATTTATGTATGGAGAAACATTTTTTGGTAATTTTCTAGAATATGTCCACCATATGGATCGCGAAGATTTTGGCATTATTGGATTCCTCTCACTGTCTAGTTTCCTAGTATATAGAAATTATTGCATGGAAACCCCCCCAACCCCACATTCTTGGCTCTGATAGCTGGGGAGGGCATGAGAGGTACCAGGGAAATTGTGGGGTAAAATAAAAATGATATATACAGAATACACAGAATCAGTCACTATATTGTCTAATGCAGGGGGACAGCCCCCAACAACCCCCCCATGGGAAGCTACTACCCTCACCCAGGAAGACAAAGAATCCTCCACATATTCATGGCAGGAGAGATTGTTGGACAAACTTGACAATGCTGCTCCTGCATGGCAGTCGTCTGCTTGCGCTTGCCGTGAATACATGGAGGATTCTTTGTTTTCCTGGGTGAGGGTTGGGGGTGCTACAGGGGGCACAGCCCTCTTGATTAGACAATATAGTGACTGATTCTGTGCACATCATTTACATTTTACCCTGCAATTTCCCTGGTATCTTTCATGCCTTTCCCCTGCTATCGGGGCCACAAATGTGGAGGTTTAGGGGGGGTTTCCGTGCAATAAAACCTACATATTTGTATTGTAGATGGTGTGAGGAATCCACCAATATCAAAATCATTGTGATCCATTTGGTGGACGTATTCTAGGAAATTACCCACATTTAATATATGCATATGCATATAAACGAGGATACAAATGTGTAACTACTACCCAGCATTTTTTCTCTACAGCACTACATTTTAAAAAAGTTTTTCCTAGAAATTAAAGAAAAAGTACCTCCTTTTACAAACAAGTTTTAAAAATCTGCAATAAAAAAATAATAAAATTACCATATTTCCTAAACCGATAGTACTTGGTTTTAATTCATATAGTTATTAGCATCCTTGTCAAATGCACTAAACTTATTTACTTATTCCTGGAGATAAGAAAATAGGGGTGCTCCATACATACAGGACATACCTTTTGTCTTGGTCTCCAACGCATTGTCATCTGAATAAGGGTATCGAAATAATAATCTGTCGCCTCTGCTCCCATTCTTTACTAGTATGATGCATAATGGATTGGCATCCATTGTTAAAATTGGTATGCGTTAAAAGGCATATCACGAACAACTTTTTCTCTCACTACTAATGTTTACATTTTCCCATCAGCAGTAAGGACCGTGTCTATAAAGCTCGTCAGAATTTTATATATACACAAACATATATACACATATATATATATATATATATATTATATATATATATATATATATATATATATATATATATATATTTGTATATTTACATATCTTGTGTGCATATTATCTCTATATATAAGTATGCATACATGCACATATATTTTATATACACTCGTACAGAGGAGGGAGGGGGAGGCCCCGGGAATCATATATATATATATATATATATATATATATATATATATATATATATATTATATATATATATATATATATATATATATATATATATATATATATATATATATATATATAATATATATATATATATATATATATATATATATATATATATATATATATATATATATATATATATATATATATATATATATAATAGATAGATAATAGATATATAGATATATAGATATACATATATATATTATATATATATTATATATATATATATATATATATATATATATATATATATATATATAATATATATATAGAGAGAGAGAGAGAGAGAGAGAGAGAGAGAGAGAGAGAGAGAGAGAGAGAGAGATAAACAGACATACATACATACATACACACACACACACACACACACACACACACACACACACACACACACACACACACACACACACACACACATATATATATATATATATATACATATGTATGTATCATTTTTACTTATTTTCATCTTTATTAGTATCACAGTTGTTATTATTATGGTTAATATAATGATTATCATTTTCATTTCCATAATCATTATTGTTATTAAAAATAATAAGTCATTCTCATGCTTGCTATCCTCATTATTATCATTATCACTATCATTACTGATACTATCATTAGTAGTAGCAGTTGTACTAATGTTAGTATCATCACCATCATTATTACTATTAACATTATCGATTCTCTATAACATTCATATTATTGTCATTTATTATCACCAATATTACTACTACTCTTACTATTGTAACTGTCATTATCAAAATCCTCATCACATTATTATCTTGTTATCATCATTCCTATCGTCCTTATTATCATAATTATGCTTATAATCATTACCATTATCATTACCACGGTAACAACTATGTATTACCACTTGCTCTCACACAAAGCTGCTTAAAGTAGTAAGAGGCAGTTGAAATATGGGAAACGCCATAATCAATAAATATAGATAAAGAGAATATTGGTTTCTAGTCAGTTTGGTCTATCAATTACAAAAAAAAAAAAAGATAAATTCCATCATATGTTTCCGTTGCTCTGTGTCACTTCGATTTGCCAGTGCATATGACTCGTTTATGATATTAAGAGCCCAAAACTGGACACACAAGGATAGTGCACCTTGGAAAACGTCGGTCATATATAATCTGCTTGAAAAATAATTGTCATTATCCTATTGTTGTTTATTTCAAAATTAAGGATGACATTATCTCTACCCGTAAAGCATCGAGGATTATATTAATAAGTTATTACTGCTGACATGAAACCAAAAAAATATACAAATAAACGTAGATTCGCTAACTAGAAAAGTAAAAACTGTAATTTTATCGCTCCCCAACATTTCTGAAATATACATTTTAATGATCATGGTGTTAATTTAAGGAAGATTTATTACGTAATGTTAACTAATTAAAACAGGGATTAAAAAAAGATGATAGTTATTCAGACTCCCTAAGGCTATACGGTAATATTTTCAGTATTGGCATTATACTCAGTGTTTTGATAAACTGTTATATTGAGCATGATAGTCGCTATCGGTAACTCTGTCGTAAAATTTATAATTTCAGTAAACAATCAACAACTTGTCATACCATTTTCTTATTACCAGTATAGTCATTATTATCAATATAGGTATAATTATCAGCATCATAATCCATATCATAATAATAATTATTATTATCATTGTCATTGTTTTTTGCTATTCTTAATATCACAATGATTATAATTATTCTTTGTATTATTATCATTATTAGTATCATATACGTTAACATTATCATTATCATCATCATTTACATAATGATCATTTATCATTTATTATCTTTACTAATGTTATCATTGTCATTGTCATCATAATTATTATAATAAGGATTATTACCTTTCTTCTTTTTTTATCTTTACTATTATCATCATCATCATTATTATCATTATTGTGTTGTAATTATTGTTATTATGAATACTATCAATATTATTGTCATTACTATTTTGACTATTATTATTATTGTTGTTGTTGTTGTTGTTGTTTCATCATCATTATTATTTACAGTTGTAGTAGTAGTTGCATTATTAATTTTGTTACCATTTTCATTATTGCCATTATCATTACTATTATCATTATTTTTATAATTCGATTTGTTAATGTTATCAAATAATAACATGAGCTATTATTATTATTAGTATATTATCATTAATATCATTATCATTATAATCATTATTACAATTATTATGACCATGAAAGTTATAATAATTACTATTATTTCTATCATGACAATGCTGTTACTACTACAAGTACTAGTTATCATTATTATTATTACCAATGTCATCCATCTTAAATTCATTATCATTATCAAAATTATTATCATTTTCATTATCAAAAGTGTGGTTATTTCAATTACTTCATTATCATCGTTACCACCGTTATCATTATTATTATACAACATTAGTTGTGATATATGAAAAATAGGAAATCATATTTTATCTTTATAAAATTCACAATTCATTGAAAAATAGAATAAGAGGGAATTTAACAGTGATTTATATTTTCTTATCACTAAATGCACCTGTTGATATTTTCATTCTCGAGGTATTTAAACACCACCTATTGATAAAGCGATTTTATTTCATAAGAAAATATATATAGAAAATAAATACATATCTGATTATTACAAATCAACAATGTCTTTGAGACGTAATGATAAATCAAAACTTTACAATGCACGTCGGGCGGTTTTTATTGTGTGTTATTTTGAGTGCCTTTCTCATTTGCAATCTTAGGCGCAGTGATGGTGAGGACACCGTCGGAGGACATGGCTGAGGTGACAGCATTCATGTCCACTGCGCCAGGAAGAGTGAAGCGTCGACAGAAGCTCTTGCTTGACCTCAACGTTCCGTCGTTCTTCTCCGCACGACCTTCCACCACCACCTCCTTGTTGTCCACCACCTTCACTTTGACGTCTTCGTTCATGAAGTCGTGAACGTCCAACACCACCTAATTAGGATATAATCAACGATTAGTATTATTTAACGTAAGGCATACTGCGAAGACAGGTTAATTCTAATGTTTATTTAAGATGATATTACTTCACCACGATGTCATATGCTCACCTTAAATCCGTGTTGATCTTCCGTGGTCTTCATCGCCTGAGTCTCATCCTTGAGCTCACGTTCCCGGAGACTTCGGTAGCAGGAGAGTTCGTCGTTGGCACTCCTCATGATGTCATGCCTGCTGAGGACTTCATTGACAGCCGTTTCGAAGTCCTTACGGACGTCTTCGAAGAAGGAATCAGAGAAGAACTGACCCTTCGAGGAGATGGGAAGCCACTGGTCGTCCACTGCGTCCTTGCTTGACTGTGTGCTTTCTAGAAGCGAGCTTCCGCTTTCACAGATTCTACTATTGGCGCCTTCTTGGTTTTCCTCACTTGTAATTTTGTTTGCGAGTGACGATGTCGCTTCAGTCCTTCTGGTAGATGTATTCTGATACTCGGAACGAAAACTTTGGTGTTCTGATTTGGATACCTTTGTGAGAGTTTGTTTTTCTTCTGTGTTTTGAGATGAAGTCTGGGAAACCTGAGATGTTGACGCTTCAGAAACCGCACTGGCCTTCGATCCCGATGTTGTCTGATTGAAGAAAATAGAGATTATTGAACTGTGTTTAAAGAACTATATCAATCGTTTTTTTCAATCCATAATATAAAATGAAATTAGCGAAAATGCTTTGCAGACTTACCTTTGGCACAGTAACAGTGAGGATGCCGTCAGATGACATCCCGGACGTCACGGTGTCGGCGCTCACGAGTCCTGGGAAGCAGAAACGGCGGAAGAAACTCTTGCTGGACACGGAATCGTCTCGCTTGATCTCCAAATTGCCTTCGATTGTTAGCTCATTCTCGTCCACCACCTTGACCTTGACGTCGCCTTCCTTGAAGTCTTGTACATCCACCACAATCTGAATTCATTTGAAAATTTTCTTAATATTATTCACACACATGGATGCAACAGCAGTTTATGAACGATGGATTGTTTACCTGATAATGAAGTCAAATGTTCAGTATTGAATGCTCTTTCAACTGACCTTATAACACTGGTGGTCCTCGCTGAAGGCGACGGCTTGGTTCTCTTCCTGCAAGTTCTGCTTTCGCAAGTTCCTGTACATGTTCATGTGGTCGCTCGCAGAGTCCACTTGTCCCCACTCTTTGAGGACTTGGTCGACGGCTTCTTGGAATTGCTTTCGAGTGTCCTGGAAGAAGGAATCGCGGAAGAAAGGCCCTCTTTCCGAAATGGGAAGAAGGTGGAACGAAGCAAGTGGGTTGGCCTGCGTCGAGTCGCTCGAGTCCTGCGTGTTCTGAGACTCCGTCGACTGAGTCTGATCCTCTTGCACTTTCACTCCAGACGATTTTGACGTTTTTCCTTCGACACTAACTTGTTTCGTTTCGACGTTGTTGGTGATGTTCGTGTGAGTCTTTGTAGCATCTGCAGACTTTTTGTGCGAGGCAGTGATTTTGATAGTTTGGCCCTCCTTGTTGTTTGTCAAGGAACTCTGGAAGAAGAATTTCATGTAAATGAAGGTTCCTTGTCTGTAAAAAGTTTCAGATAATGCGCGCCAGTAAATGTGATATTCAGTCCATTTTGACAGCTTTTACCACGCACCTTCTTTGGAACAGTGACAGTAAGAACTCCATCTGCCGACATGGACGAGGACACAGCGTCTTCGCTCAAGAGACCCGGGAATGAGAAGCGTCGACAGAAAGTCTTCTTCGAGACGGCGCCATCTCGTCGCTTCTCGACGCTGCCTTCGATCACCAGTTCGCTGTCGTCCACCACCTTCACCTTGATGTCGCCGTCCATGAAGTCGCGCACGTCAATCACGACCTGGAAAGTCAGAGGTCATTATTGCATCTTTAAGGAATTCATTCGTACAACCAATATACAACAGATAATGACACGTATGTATCACCATAAGATAAATCATTACTGTGGAAGCCACTTACCTGATGCGACGTGTTGTCTTGGCTGACGGAGAGAGCCTGAGTCTCTTCCGTGAGGTTGAGATCTCGCATTCGTCTGTAGGAGAGAAGGTCGTCCTCGAAGGATGAGCGTGAATCCCACAGATCCAGCATGTCTCGCACGGCTGTATCGAACTGCTGGCGGAGATTCTCGAAGAAAGAGTCGTGGTGGAAATGACCCCGTGAGGTGATGGGCAGCATAACCTCTCGGTCAGCCTGGTTTTCAAGGAGGGAGATGCGTGTCTGTGGCTGATCACTGTTCGTGGCTGTTTTGCTTTCACTGGCAATTGCACTGTTGTGGGACGAAGACGTTTTGACTGTGTGGAAGGAACTGCTGGTCGTGAAGGCCTTGCTGCTTGCGCTGCTTGAGTTCTCTTCAACGTGAGAAGAGAAGTGCTTCTGAATTGGGGCCATTTTGCTCTTTCTGTATACAAATAGATCAAGAAGCTTTTGAAAGCGGAGGATCGTTGATTCGCGGTGTGTTCGCTGCAAGTGTTAGCGTAGAAGTAACTGGCGGGTTAGACGAACCGCCACCTTTTATGTGTCCCGACTTGGAGCGACGCCCACCGCCCAGGCATACCTGATGATGTCATGGCGCGTTCCTTTCCCTCCCTCGCACTGTGAGAAGATTCTGGTTGATTCGTTATTCCTTTTGTTGTGTATCAATATGTGTTTGATATGGCAATTTTTTTTGATATGCATTCATATTCCCAATATAGTAAAGATGGAGTTGCCATATGCCTGTAGCAGACGCGATAATGACGGAATGCTTATTATGATTATTATTGTTATTATTGTCATTATTGTTATTGTTATTATCATTACCATTATTATTATTATTTTTTGATTATCATTATCATTATTGTTGTTGTTATCATTATTATTATCACTATCATTATCATAATTCCTTCTTATTCACGATCTACAATAGATTTACCATTAATAATCCTTGTGTTAGATGTCAAATTTTCTACATCTGATATATATCTTGATTAACAATTATTACATATTATCATCTATTTGGAACCCTCGTTTGTTCATTCAAGTGGTACTACAATGCCATTCCTTGGCAAGATATACAGTTAAGAAATCGGACAGAAGGTAGATTATCTCCACGTTTTCCTCCAGATCTCACAAAGAAATCGAAGAAATCTGATCCCGTTTGTTGTAGGGTGAATCATTCCTTCTGACCAAATATGGACGGATTCCTTCTGACCAAATTTGGACGACGAAGTTTATTGTGATCCTTGATGACCTTATATAAACGTTTACATGAATATAGCGGTTGTATCACTCGACGCATGATTATGTTACACGACATGGAACCATAAACAAACACGCATACATATATGTATACATTACATACATGCATCCATGCAGTACTTACATGTATATATATACATATATGCACGAGATGTATACGTACATACACCACACATGCACATGCACGCACACACCACACACACACACACACACACTTAAACAGATACACACACACACACATATGTATATGTATATTTCTTTAAGTGTGTGTATGTGGGCGCGTTTATATGTATGTTTGTATGTAAATGTGTTAATGCTTATATGTATATATGTATGAATGTAAATGCGTACACAACCACACAGACACAAATATATATCAAATATAATATTTTGACAGAGCATCTCGTTTTCTTCACGTTTGCCTTTGTCTGCTTGCGTTGTTACACACATTGTAGCATAATCTTGTATTGTATGAGGTCATCTTTGCCGCCACTGTGGATTAGCGGGACCCCACTTAGGCCACAGCATTTTTTTTCATGAATCAAGTCTGGTGATAATGAAATGTTAGAAAATCCCCAGCACCAAAATAAGACAAGTGTACCTCCTACCTTCCAAAGATCACAAGTAAAGGAATGTATCAGTTCCAGCCTCACCTGGAGGAAGTTTTGTCTTGCTGCAAGTCTTCGAGGAGTTGAATGAAAACAGACAAACACTTCTTTCAGCCAGAATTTGATATTTTGGAAATCAAAATAAAAAAATATTCAAGAGTATAGATATGACATGACACACGAGAGTAAGATATTTCCGCCAAATATATTTTATTTTTGTTTTGAGGACGGGAGAAACGATACCATACACAATGAACCATAGACATTTGCTTTTTGCTATTTTTTCGCGGACGTCACAATATATGGGGAAATTAGAATAAAAAGATCGGGATTTTCATTTTTTTCATTTTCCTTGAAATAAATGTCGTCTGACCCGATATTCAAAAGAATTGCTGTGGCCTTACCTCCAAACCATGGCCTTAATTCATAAATGATCTTAATTATTTTTTGCGTTGAAAAGAGACATTAATTTTCCACGTTCCATTTCCTTCTATTGTTAACAGACCAGTATATAGCAAAATATAATTGTAAAATAAATAATAGGAAATGAAGAAGCAAGGACTTTTGTCCTTACAAGCTAAATCCCTGCCTTTATATATAGAAATATATATATACATACACACACACACACACACGTGTGTGTGTGTTTGGATACTTCTGCGATTCTGAATTTTATTTCCTTTCATATTCAACGTAAAGAAGCACAAGAACATCAACATGGTTCTGTGAAGCTGTGAAGTCTAAAGTTTCACTGGGGTTTGATGACTTTTGGTCCATTACATCTTAACGGAAATCACAAACATTTTTTTTCTTATCGGGTTATCTGGAGCCAGACAAGTGCTAACTCTGCAGCTTTCTTCTCGAACAGAGGCTATTAGAGACTGCTACTTATTTGTTCAAGAATGTTTCTTAAAGAGGTATTTTTGTATTGCACGGTATATATGTATATCTATGCATGCTTCTGTAGCATGGCAACATGCCACCAATGCCTGTAGCATGTGCATCTTTGTGTAACTTTGGCAATGCGTATTCTGAGCATAAGGAATATCACCAGAAATACAAGTATAACGATAGAAAACCATTCATAAAGATTACATATATGATATGATATAGGTTAGGTAAAATGCATTATAGATAAATACATTTTATTTCATATGAAAATAGATTCAGGAAAATATATCATCGCAATTCAGGTCTATAAATATCAACAACAAAAACAACAAACAACTCCATCAACAACGTCTGTAATAGCTGATTCCCTTAGCATTGTAAAGGATTCGTTGAAGCTTTCAGTGACCCAATTTTTAAACCTTGGGCGCAGTGATGGTGAGGACACCGTCGGAGGACATGGCTGAGGTGACAGCATTCATGTCCACTGCGCCAGGAAGAGTGAAGCGTCGACAGAAGCTCTTGCTTGACCTCAACGTTCCGTCGTTCTTCTCCGCACGACCTTCCACCACCACCTCCTTGTTGTCCACCACCTTCACTTTGACGTCTTCGTTCATGAAGTCGTGGACGTCCAACACCACCTAATTAGGAAAATGTTAACCTTACTATTTATCATATAGTTACAAAATATGGCTAAGAATTCGTCTAATATTATGATATTGCTTCACCACCCATACAATATTGCTTCTTACCATGAGATCATCTACTCACCTTAAATCCGTGTTGATCTTCCGTGGTCTTCATCGCCTGAGTCTCATCCTTGAGCTCACGTTCCCGGAGACTTCGGTAGCAGGAGAGTTCGTCGTTGGCACTCCTCATGATGTCATGCCTGCTGAGGACTTCATTGACAGCCGTTTCGAAGTCCTTACGGACGTCTTCGAAGAAGGAATCAGAGAAGAACTGACCCTTCGAGGAGATGGGAAGCCACTGGTCGTCCACTGCGTCCTTGCTTGACTGTGTGCTTTCTAGAAGAGCTTCCGCTTTCACAGATTCTACTATTGGCGCCTTCTTGGTTTTCCTCACTTGTAATTTTGTTTGCGAGTGACGATGTCGCTTCAGTCCTTCTGGTAGATGTATTCTGATACTCGGAACGAAAACTTTGCTGTTCTGATTTGGATACCTTTGTGAGAGTTTGTTTTTCTTCTGTGTTTTGAGATGAAGTCTGGGAAACCTGAGATTTTGACGCTTCAGAAACCGCACTGGCCTTCGATCCCGATGTTGTCTGATTGAAGAAAATAGAGATTATTGAACTGTGTTTAAAGAACTATATCAATCGTTTTTTCAATCCATAATATAAAATGAGATGAGTGAAAATGCTTTGCAGACTTACCTTTGGTACAGTAACAGTGAGGATGCCGTCAGATGACATCCCGGACGTCACGGTGTCGGCGCTCACGAGTCCTGGGAAGCAGAAACGGCGGAAGAAACTCTTGCTGGACACGGAATCGTCTCGCTTGACCTCCAAATTGCCTTCGATTGTTAGCTCATTCTCGTCCACCACCTTGACCTTGACGTCGCCTTCCTTGAAGTCTTGTGCATCCACCACAATCTGAATTCATTTCAAAATTTTCTTAATATTGATTCACACACATGGATGCAACAGCATGAGTTTATGAAGCAATGGATTGTTTACCTGATAAAATGAAGTCAAATGTATCAGTATTGAATGCTCTTTCAACTGACCTTATAACACTGGTGGTCCTCGCTGAAGGCGACGGCTTGGTTCTCTTCCTGCAAGTTCTGCTTTCGCAAGTTCCTGTACATGTTCATGTGGTCGCTCGCAGAGTCCACTTGTCCCCACTCTTTGAGGACTTGGTCGACGGCTTCTTGGAATTGCTTTCGAGTGTCCTGGAAGAAGGAATCGCGGAAGAAAGGCCCTCTTTCCGAAATGGGAAGAAGGTGGAACGAAGCAAGTGGGTTGGCCTGCGTCGAGTCGCTCGAGTCCTGCGTGTTCTGAGACTCCGTCGACTGAGTCTGATCCTCTTCCACTTTCACTCCAGACGATTTTGATGTTTTTCCTTCGACACTAACTTGTTTCGTTTCGACGTTGTTGGTGATGTTCGTGTGAGTCTTTGTAGCATCTGCAGACTTTTTGTGCGAGGCAGTGATTTTGATAGTTTGGCCCTCCTTGTTGTTTGTCAAGGAACTCTGGAGAAGAATTTCATGTAAATGAAGGTTCCTTGTCTGTAAAAAGTTTTCAGATAATGCGCAGCCAAAATGATGATTGTATTCATCCATTTGACAGCTTTTATCACGCACCTTCTTTGGAACAGTGACAGTAAGAACTCCATCTGCCGACATGGACGAGGACACAGCGTCTTCGCTCAAGAGACCCGGGAATGAGAAGCGTCGACAGAAAGTCTTCTTCGAGACGCGCCATCTCGTCGCTTCTCGACGCTGCCTTCGATCACCAGTTCGCTGTCGTCCACCACCTTCACCTTGATGTCGCCCTCCATGAAGTCGCGCACGTCAATCACGACCTGGGGAAAGGAACATGTATCTATGAATAGCAAATATTATGTCAGAGACGCAAACAACTGATTTCCTCCGTAATAAGTTCAACAACAGTATACTGCATGTGAACGACATTTACCTGGTGAGAGTTGTCGTCCTGCTTGACGGAAAGAGCCTGAGTCTCTTCCGTGAGGTTGAGGTCTCGCATTCGTCTGTAGCAAAGCAGGTCGTCCTCGAAAGGTGACCTGGAATTCCACAGGTCCAGTGTCCTTTACGGCATCATCGAAATGCTCTCGGAGATCCTTGAAGAAGGAGTCATGATAGAAGTGACCTCGTGAGGTGATGGGCAGCGCGACCTCTCGCTCTCCGTCTCTGTCGAAGTGGGTGATGCGATTCCTTGGAATGTCACGGTCAGAGGCGATAGCACTGTCACTGCCTGTTATGCTGCTGCTTGAAGTGTTGTGGCTGTGTTAAAGCAACTGCTGGCTGTGAAGGTCTTGCTGGTCGCTCTGTCTGAATTCTCTTCAGTAAAAGATGAAATGTGCTTCTGAATTGGGGCCATGCTTGCTCTTGAGGCTTACAGCTGAGAAATATAAAGAACGTTGGCTCAGGGAGTCCGAAGCTGCAATGTGTTCACTGCGAGTGTTGTCGAAAGACTGTATGCTGAGAAGTGCCTCGCGCCAAGTTTTATGTGCCGGAGTTTGGACCGACGCCCATACCCCACGCGTATAGAATGACGTCATGGCAGTGTCCGATGCCTTCTGCTACGGGTGAGAACGTTCTGGAATCTTCGATCTCGTTCTGATGATATTCATCATAATCATATTAAAGTAGATTATACTGATGATAATGATTAGGATGATGACAGTGAAGATACTGCTAATGATGATAGTAATGATAATGATAATAGATGATAAATCGTAATAATTATGAGAATGATAGCAATGATAATAGCAATAATAGCAATAACAACAACAGCAATAATAATAATAATCATAATAATAGTAATAATAATGATAACAACAACAGCAACAAATCATTGATAATGATAATAATGGTAATAGTAAAACAGTAATAATAATGATGATTATCATATTGATGATAATAATTACAATAATGATAATAGTAATGATAGTAATGATATTAACTATAATGGTGAAAATGATAATGATAATATAATGATAATATGATGCTGAAAATGATAATCATCATACTAGTAAGAGTAACAATAACAACAACAATGATGATAACAATGATAACGATAATATTGATAATAATAATAATAATAATAATAATAATAATAATGATGAGGATAATAATATGATACATAATAATTATAAAAATAATAATGATAATGATAATGATAACAATCGCGATGATCACAATAATGATTATTATATTGTAACAATAGTAATAATAATAATAATAACGATAGTAGTAGTTATGATGATAATAATGTTAATAATTATGACAATAATGACAATAATAATAATGATGACAATAATGACAATAATAATAATAATGACAATAATACTAAAAATAACAATAATAATGATGGTGGTAGTAAAGAATGATAATGTGATTGTGACGAAATGGCAATAATAATAAAAGGGAATTTGACAAGTAACAGTACTCATTCGAGTTGCAAAAAGTCGTTGCAGCAATTTCTGCCAATATCAATATTACTGCGATTTGCCGTCTAATTATTCTTACAATATTCCTAAAAAAAACGCATTTTAACAACATAGTTTTACATGTCATGTCATGATAAAATGATAGGGAATCTCTTAGCACACTATTATTTTTATATTTGTGATATGAGATGTTGAAAAGTGGACTAATCCATTCATTCATACACACAAACACAAACACACATACACACACACGTATATATATATATATATATACATTTACACAGACACACACACACACACACACACACACACACACACACACACACACACACCACACACACACACACACACACACACACACACACACACACAATATATATTATATATATATATATATATATATATATATATATATATATATATACACACACACACACACACACACACACACACACACACACCACACACAGCATATAATATATATATATATATATATATATATATATTATATATATATATATATATATATATTACATTTACACACAGACACACACACACAGTGGTAACCAAACCAATTCAGTGCTCTCTTCTATTCAGAATCACTTATTATTAGTTATGAATATTGTCATGATGTTAGTAGCTATAGGACAAGAACACTGTGGAAGTATTTCATTTCATTGATATGAGAGATATCAAGTATTTTCTGTAGGTAAGATGAAATCTAAAATAATTCTTCCGGCAGTATCTGGCAAGAATTGCTCTAAATGTTACCTCATAATGACGTCACGATGGAAGGCGGAAGAGAAAGCTGACTCATTTATCTATTTATTTATTAATTATATTTCTTATTTTTGCGACCTGCATTAAAATCTAGTAACCTACACACAATGGATCACATTAATAAGGTTTAATTGGGTGTAAAAGACAAGCGTTTTCTTTTTTAAACAATTCCGACGCAGGTAATTATTAACTTCGTGAAAAAAAAAACAGAGAGAGAGAGAGAGAGAGAGAGAGAGAGAGAGAGAGAGAGAGAGAGAGAGAGAGAGAGAGAGAGAGAGAGAGAGAGAGAGAGAGAGAAGAGAGAGAGAGAGAGAATAATTTCTATATCATAAAAACATAAAAATCTAGCAGTGATGACACCGAATACAGATTATTGGTACGACATTAACCAATGATTCGTTAAAAATGAAAGAAAGAAAGGAAACATACACAGCCATTTTATTACACGTTCTGCCTGTGCCATAAAATTGGCCATATTTGGCATATATACACATCGACACTCCTTGTTTCTTATTGGTTTAATAAAGCAAAACAAGATGAGGAGAACGAATGACGTCACAATCAAGAAAAAATGAAAACTATGAAATACTATGGAAACACAATTCTACCAGGATGAGACTGCCACTGTCCGGAAAGTAAATATACGGGGGTAACAGGCGTCATCTGGCACGGGACGGGGGGCCAAGTCGCGCCCTATAAATATCCGCGTCCGACAGCGTTCCCAGTCACAGCTCGTTCAGTATTCGGATAAACTTCACGTCCGCTTGCATCTGTCTTTTGTGTGTGTGTGTGCGTGTACAAACAACATGGCCCCGATTCAGATGTACGCCCCATCCCCTGTGCAGGAACAATCCAGCTCGAGACTTTTCAGCGAGGACAACCAGTGCTACAAGGTTAGTTGAGAGATGTCTATTATTATTATGAAACTTTTAAGGAAGCTTTTTCATAAAGCCAAGTAAAAAAAAAAACAACAAATCTTTGGTTCAGGTAGTTTTTTTTTTTTTTTTTTTTTTTTTTTTTTTTTTAGATTTAAATATATATAAACTGACATTTAAATTCAAATTATAAATCTTAGATGGCTGCCATATCGAGATGATGCGTGCTCGCTCTGTGCAATATCGCCGGTGCAGTATCGCTCAGCGTGCTTTTTTTTTTTTTTTTTTTTTTGAAAACCATGGTTATAGAGTTATGGTAGACGGTTATTTAGCGATAAGAATGTTTGAGTCGGCATTTTTTCGGCAAAAAAGACGGTCGGTCGAGTTGCCAGAACCAAAGGTATTTTTTACCTTGGTCTAAAACAGACTTGGCGAAACAGGATCTCACTTTCTCCACAACCTGTTCTCGCTTCGGTTGCAATGTATGAGCACGTCATGTAAGATCCGACCCTATTGCTTTGTTTACACTACAACCTCGGATGTCTCCTGCTCCTGTCCAGATCGTGGTGGACGTGGAGGCCTTCATGGCGAGCGGCGTGAGGTTCGACGTGGTGAACGAGAACGAGCTGATCATCGAGAGCTGCGCGGAGAACGGCGAAGGGAACTCCGCCTCGAGGAAGGGCTTCTACCGCCGGTTCCTCTTCCCGAGCCTCGTCAGCGTTGATACTGTGCGGTCAGTGTTGTCCCGCGACGGCATCCTCACCATCACCGTAGCTAAGAAGGTCAGTGAAACAGTATTATTAAACTTTTATTCCCTCCACGTGGGTGATATTGGAATTAGGAAGAACATATTTAGATCAGGATTTCTCATGTTAATAATATTAACTTATGAGTGTCATAATTTTATCTCTCCGACAGGTAACATCTGACTTAAGCATTGGAGACATTTCGTAGTTTAAGAAACTGGATTGAACACAAATGCAAAATTAGAAGGCTCGTCTCGTGTGCGCTGAACACTCAAGGCGCCGGCGAATGGACTCGCCGGAGATGGAAAAGACCTCTTGAGGAAGAAGACCTTGGGAAAATCCTCACGAGGAAAGGCTTTTGTGATAATCTTCGCCAGGAATTCCTGTCGATGTTATTCTCAGGAACGTTCTTTACTTATGGCCAAAACACCAGACTGGAAGGTGCCGGATTTTTTGCAGGTGCGATGATGCAATATCTGAACAAGTGCGGATGCGCGATAATTGTGCCTCCTAAGTGCGCAAAGCCGGCCAGATTCATGTCACGTGCGATTCAGTTAAAAAAATAATCTAATTGCGCTGATTACGAAAGACGATTATCGAGTCCAGTCCTCGGTTACAAATGCGCATGATAACGAATACTGACAGACATGTAAGGAAGGTGACATCCTTTAACATCCTTACCAGACTGGCCAGAGAATGACTGAACTGCACAGCTTTTCATACAGAAAGACTAGAATGCAGATCTGCGCAATTCACTCCAGAATTTCATGTTTTATTAAATGTCTTAATAGGAAAGACAAGCTTGTACTAGATTCGCTTCGGGTTGGTGGAATTCTGGGATGAGGAAACACGTGCACACCAGAATAATCACAGCAAGACAGATTTCCGCGATGGCTGTTGTAAAGATATTCTTACCACACTGCCTGTAAGGCTTCATTTCCATTCAATGATGGCGTTCTATAATAAAATCAACATGATAGACCTGATGTTTTCTTTTTTCTTCTCCTAATTCTCCGTTGTATACGCATAAATGCATACACACTTACAAAAGCATTCACACACACACATGCACATACACATATTTATATCATGTTAACAGCACATATTTAGAGGACAAATGAAAACAGTTTATATATATATATATATATATATATATATATATATATATATATATATATATATATATATATATATATGGAACAGGCATTTAATACATTGATATATATTTAGCAAAATAAATACCCTAAATGTATTGAATAATATCCCTTCTAATCTGATAATCTAGATTTTATATCAAAACATTGTCATCCTGTCTACGATTCCTCTTTAAACTTAGGAACCAAGATACTCAACACGCCATCGGAATCTCATAGTGCCCAAAAATTAAGAATACATAGCTTACATTCATTCACATTCATTGATTAAAAAAATCCTGTTTACGTCTGCGGAAGTCACGACCTCCATGTCCACTTTGCCTGGGAAGTTGAAACGTCGACAGAAACTTTTCATGGACTTGAAGTCGCCCTCTTCCTTTTCCACTCGACCTTCCACCACCACCTGATTGCCTTCCACTCTGACCTTAACGTCTCCACTCTTGAAGTCTTGGGCATCCAATACCACCTGGATATGAGATCATTTTGAATTACTCGAAAGCAGTAATTTTAGTTATCGTTTTATTACGTTCTCGCACAGGTGTAAAGCCACTCGTGAGGTCATTCATGGCTTTTTTTCAAGGATTAGTTCGACAGCTGTCTCAAAGTACTTCTGAATATCCCCAAAGAAAGAATCATGGAAGAAAAGTTCCTTCTCGGCTATGGGGAAAGGTGAATCTCTTTGCATTCGGAAGCCTCCCCAATTTTC